GGTGCACGGTCCCCGGGGCGCCTTGCAGAGCCTACTGCCTGGGTGCTCCTTCTCAAGCCTGAGCCCCACAGGTCCAGCCCTGAGAGGAGGTGATGGGCTGCTGAGCTGGTCTCCACTGACCAGTGGCCCAGGTTCACCTTCTCGCTTGCCTGTGCTCAAGAAGGGAAGGGACAGGGTCAGGTGCACAGGCCGCACTCCAGTAAGCCTGTCACCAAGGAAACAGGGCGACGGAGGGAGGAAGGAGCCCTGGGAAAAGCAGATAAATCAATAAGGGAGCCTATTTTTACCATTTTCCTAATGACTATCTTGAGCTGCTAGACAGGAAGGGAAGACACAGGTCCTCATTAGCAGCAAGGGGGAGGGTGCAGGGTGTTTGGGGAGCATGCAGAAGTCTGGGATGAGCCCCTGGAGCCAGTGGCAGGAGGAAGGGGTACAGCTCAGGGCATCCCAATGGCCACTTCCTCGTCGAGGCCCTTGGTTCTCTTTCAGTTGCTCCTCAGAGATCTGTGCTCACTCGGGCTGGGGTGGGTTTTGTGTTGGTTTGCCGATTCCAGCAAGCTGCCATGGGCTTTGTGGTAATGAGTGGACATGGACTTGTTTCCCCACTCAGTGGTGGCTGAAGCCATCCCTTCCCCCTTAGGAAGCCCACTGTCCTTGCAGCGAGAGCCGTCTGCTGTGCATGGTGGTTTCCTTTCGTTGTCTTTTCTGTGGATGCAATGTGCCCATGGAGTGCAGTGCAGAGGGCTCAGACGGGTCTGCCACTGGGCCAGAGTGAGGATGCCGTGGGCCCTGTTTCCATGGGCTGCTCCTTGGTCTGGGGGAATAAATTGCCATTGCTGATACTCTGTCCGTGCAGTGCTGGACACCGGGCTGGGTGAACAGAACAGGCAGAGGCCTTGCCCCGGCTCCAAGAGCTCTGTTCATCCAAGGTCTGCAAACACAGTGCTCTGGCTGCCAGAAAGGCGTCCTTCTGCAGGGAGGGTCAGCACAGGAGTGGAGGGAGTCACCGAGTTCACAGACAGCCATGGAGGGGTTCGTGGATTGAGGAGTTGAGGCTGGGGAACTGGGAGCATCCTTGAACTTGTGTGGTGGCGTGTGGGCTGCAGTAGCTTGGCCTGGCCCTCATTGTGCCCGGGCCTTTCTGTCACTTTGGACTTGGAATTCTGGTGCGGGAGGTGGGAGTGGACCAGCACCAAGGGACAGCTGTGGCCTTGTCTGCAGAGCGGCACCTATAGGAGCTCCTGGCACGTCCACTCACTAAGGGGCTGGGCTAAGCAGCTGCGGCAGACACACAGAGGAATCCCTGATCCTGCTTCTGATGGATAGTTTCTTGGGGGAGACAGGTAGGAAAACTAATAAAGTCTCACAAGACAGAGGTCTGTGGGGCATAAGGAGAGCCTCTTGGACCAGCTGACCTTCCCTCCTGGTCGTGACGGACTTTAGAAAGGTGGAGCCGCTGCAGGCCGTGGCACAAGCCACCGAGATGTCCAAGCTTTTCCTGGTGCTGTGTTCAGGGAGGGGTGTGGGAAACAGGAGGCAAGAGGGCTTTGGGTAGCTGGGCCAGGCCCAGTGGGTGCCTTTTTTTTTTTTTTTAAAGATTTTAATTTATTTATTTGAGAGGCAGCTTTATAGAGAGAGGGAAAGATGGGGAGAAAGGTTTCCCATCCACTGGATCACTCCCCAAATGGCTGCAATGGCTGGAGCCAAGCCAATCCGTAGCCAGGAGCTTCATCCAGGTCTCCCACGTGGGTGCAAGGGCCCAAGCACTTGAGCCATCTTCCACTGCTTTCCCAGGCCACAGCAGAGAGCTGGATCAGAAGTGGAGCAGCTGGGACACAAACCGGCACCCATATGAGATGCCAGCACTGTAGGTGGAGGCTTAGCCTATTGCACCACAGCCCCGGGCCCCAGTGGGTGCCTCTTCCCTCACATCCTGATGGTTGTCCTGTGCCTGCCTGCCCTCTCCTCTGGCCACAGTTGTATGGACTCTCCCTGCTTCATGAGTTTCCATGTCAGGATCTTCCACAGGCTCTGCCTCCCTCACGCCAGCATCCAGCTGAGCAGTTTTCAGCATTTCAGCCCCACGATTGCTGCTGTCAAGTGGTCCTGATGCATCAGACAGCAGCTGGAGTCTGGCTGGCCTTTGAGTGTCTGGCCAACAGGGCCTTGGGGAAAACCAGTTGTCCAGCTGCTAGTTCCGGGGAGCTGGGCTCAGCAGCACCTGGGGCCAAGAGCTGTCTTTTTGCTCAGTGTCCTGCAGTGGTGTCCAGCCTCTGTCCCCAGCAGTCCTCAGGTATCTGCACGTGGTCACTCTGGGCTAGTTGAGATTCAGGGTCCTAGCTTGGAGCTATAGCGTGAGTTTATCTGGCTGGAAAATACAGGTGGATGGGGAGCAAGGGGTGGGGACCGCTAGGCACGCAGGGGTCCACACAGGTCCTGTCAGGAGAGCAACTGGAGGGCACGGACCCTGCTCCTGCACTCAGCCCCTGAGAGCTGCCCCACCTGGCAGTCTGGGTGTAGATTTCCAGGTGAGGAAGACTCAGCTCCAGAAGCAGTCACCATCCCAGGATCCCCAGAGGCCAGCGCACTCCTGGCCTCTCCCCAGGGCGGGGCTGGGCTCCTCCATCACCAGCGGGGCTTTCCCAGCCGTGGGGCCAGCACCACTCCTTGTGGAGGACAAGGATGGAGGAAACGTGTATGAGGCACACAGCTAGTCACAGCCAAGGTCCCCAGCCCCGTGCTCCACTCTGGGAACTGGAAGCTCAACCCGGCTTCTATCAGGGCCTTCTGACCTCCAGGGACAAATCGTGGGAAGCAGGTCTGGGAAGCGCTGTGTGCTACTCCCACTCATTTGTGTGTTTGTGTGTGTGTGTGAGTCCAGACCGTGTGCAGTAGTGTGTAATATATACCATATACCATAGAGTGTGTGTGTGAGTCCACACTTGCAGTAGTGTATGTTATACACCGTATACCATAGAGTGTGTGTGTGTAGTGGACACTATATAGAGTGTGTGGATACACTGTACAGTATGTGTGGGGTGGACACTGTATATAGTAGTGTGTGGTGCACACTGCATTCAGTAGTGTGTGTGGTGCGAAATGTACAGTACTGTGGTGCACACTGTACAGTATGTGTGTGTGTGGAGTGGACACTATAGAGTGTGTGGTACACACTTTACAGTATGTGTAGGGAGGACACTATATAGTAGTTGTGTGGTACACACTGTACAGTATGTGTGGTGCTCAGTGTGTACAGTAGTGTGTGGTACACACTGTACAGTAGTGTGTGTGGTGCCCAGTGTGTACAGTAGTGTGTGTGGTGCTCACTGTGTACAGTAGTGTGTGGTGCTCACTGTGATGAATGTGTGGTGCACACTGTACAGTACTGTGTGGTGCTCACTGTGTACAGTAGTGTGTAGGGGGTGCACACTGTACAGTAGTATGTGTATATGGTATGCACAGTGTATATTATTACGTGAGTACATCAGGTATGTGGTATAAACTGTGAGTTTGTTTTCAGGCAAAGGCTGGATTTTTTGGCCCCTTGTCTACAGACCCACCTTCATTGTTACCAGTGGACCTGGGTGTCTGGGTAAGCTGTGCCAGGCCCAGGGTAGCCTGGGCCACTCAGGGTTGTGGAACTTGAGGCCTGGTGTGGCCCTGGGGCTCTACAGTCGTTAGAGATCTGTTCAGTGCCCACGGTGGAGGATCTCTGCATGATCTGTGGCCCTGGCTGGGGTCTGAGGGGTCGTGTCCCAAGGAGGTGGGTGTGCAAGGCAGGTGTGCAAGGCAGGCATGCATCTGGCATACCTGGGCTGAGCTGGTGTCCCAGCAGACTTGAAGGAATGCCCAGGAGTCCTGAGTGCCCTTACATGCAGCGAGAACCCCTGGAGGTCTTGGGCCAGCTGGGTGTGGACTCAGGTCTGGCAGTACTGTCCCTGGGGCAGGCAGGGGCTGTGGGAGTTGGGGGTGGGAAAGGACCTGCCCCTGCTGGTGGGGGTTGTTTCTCAGCTGTGTGGTGGGGTCGGGGATCTGGGCATTGCTGCCCTTGGCTTGGGCAGTTAGTCCCCACCCCTACAGCCTCCTTGGAGCCGGTGGGCTGCTCACTGGTGCCGGTACCACCACATGTTCTGCAGAATGCCCCCATAACTCAGTGCCACTGACAGGGTGTGGCAGGGTGGTGGCATCAGGGTGTGTAATGACTTGTGCTTCCTCCATGGGTTCTGGGAGGGTTCTGGGCTGCGTGTGCTTCACAGCCCACCTGACTGCATGCAGAGACAGGATGAGGGGCCCTGCCCTGCCCTCCGTGTTGCTGGGTCTGCCCCCGTCTGTCAGCACATGGCCCCCGGGTCAGCGCCAGAGCAGGTTTATGCCTGCCGTGCAGGGGTGCCTGTACTCCAGCCTGGGATTCCCTGCCCCCTTCTATCAGGCTGCCCACCTCTCTTTGAGACTGCAGCAAAGCCTTTCCTGGGAGTCAGACGCTGGCATGCGAGTCGTGGCTGTATTTCAGAAAAGCACAGAGCCCCCTCCTGTGTTCAGAAAAAAGCCAGAATTTTGATGCTCTGCACTCAGACTCATGCTCTGTGTCTCTCCTTCCTGGAGACAGACGTAGAAGGAAGGTGGGGGCAGAGCAGGCTCCTCCAGCCCCAGGATGGCTTCCACAGACTGGGGGCTCACAGGGCAGGGTTCCCAGCCGGCCTGCCACAGGCATCGCTGCGGGCCAGCATCTGACAACTGTGCAGCGTTCACCGTTTCTTCCCCCTCGTCGTCAGCCCTGATGAGATCCCAGATCCATCACGGACTTCTGTTGTGGGCCTGGCAGTTGTGTACTGGCCGCACACTTCCTCCTCTTGGCACGCCTCTGTTGTCTGTGGGCCAGGTCCAGATGGCACGGTCTGGCCTGCTGAGGCCGGGCCTCTGCCATGCCTGCCTGCTGTCTGTGGGACCAGGGTGGGGGGTGAAGCCTCCCTCCAGTGACTGCTCCTTGACCCTCCTTCCACGCCGTTCGAGTACATGATCCTGGCCACCATCATCGCCAACTGCATCGTCTTGGCCCTGGAGCAGCACCTGCCTGAGGACGACAAGACCCCAATGTCCCGCCGACTGGTAGGCGCCTTCTGCTTCATCACCCACCCTCCCTGGCCGCCGAGGCAGGGGCGCCTTAGCGACAGACCCCTTAGGATTCACAAGGGAAAGGAGGTGTCACAGGAGTAAGGCCAGGAGGTGTAACCGGGCAGGTCAGGCACGAGGTCCGCCAGCCTCGATCCTCCGTTCTGAGGGGCTCTCAGGTGGGAGGAAGAAGAGGGGCGAGGCGATGAGAGGAAGACTCAGCTCCTGCACGTTGGTGGCATGAGCTTCCTGGTGCCTGTGCCCAGGTTCTCCTTAACGAGGAGACTTGCTCGTCACAGATAGCAGACCCTTGGCTTAAAATCCAGATGTGTGTGGGTGGCTCCTGTGGGTGAGAACCCCCGAGGTTCCAGCTGGGGTGCACGTGGGGGCTGGGGAAGCGGTCTCCTTTGGGACAGAGCTAGAGCCACCAGGAACCTGACAGCCCTTCCCGTTCCCACTGCTGGCTTCTTGGGGTGCCCCTGCTTGGTGCATTCCTGCACACCCTCGGGTCTGGATGCTTGCAGGCTGCCCAGCACTGGCGCCTAGGGTGGCCAGCGTGCCCAGCGTGCCCTGCTCACGTGCATCGCTCTCGCCCGCAGGAGAAGACAGAGCCCTACTTCATTGGGATCTTCTGCTTTGAGGCTGGAATCAAGATCGTGGCCCTGGGGTTCATCTTCCACAAGGGCTCCTACCTCCGCAATGGCTGGAACGTCATGGACTTCATCGTGGTCCTCAGTGGGTGAGTCCTTCCTTTGTGCATACGCCGGTGGTCACAGGGGTAGGAGAGCAGGCAGGAACGGCAGGACAAGTTCGAGGACCAGGTTCTTGGGGCTGGGACTCGAGACCCCCCTCAGGCAGGGCCCCGGAGCCGGCTCGGACTTGGCTAGGTCTGCGAGTGGCACTTTCCCATGAGACTTGTGGGCTGTGGGGCCCTCAGGCCTACGCCGCAACCTTGACCTGGAGTCTCCTCACCTAAAGAGCTGTGGACCCCGCCCGGGAGGCGCCCTGCCTTGTAGACCCCGAGTTGTACCAGTGTGGTTCCTGTGGGAGACTACAGCCACCTTGCCGTGGGGAGGTTGACCCCATGACATCCCTGTGGGAAACCCTGGCCAAGCTTCTGTGGGAGACCCCAACTGCACCCCTGAGGGGAGATCCCTGACTGCGTCTCTATGAGACCTCGACCACACACCTGTGGGGAGACCCCAACCGCACCCCTGAGGGGAGATCCCTGACTGCGTCTCTGTGAGACCTCGACCACACACCTGTGGGGAGACCCCAACCGCACCCCTGAGGGGAGATCCTGACCATGCCCTGAGGGAGATCCTGACCAAGCTTCTGTGGGGAGACCCAGACCATGCCCCTGAGGGAGATCCTGACTGCACCCCTGGGGGAGATCCTGACCAAGCTTCTGTGGGGAGACCCTGACCACGTCCACGGAGGAGACCCCACCTGCACATCTGTGGGGAGACCCCAACCACCTTTCTGAACTGATACTTGTGGCTGAGACCCTGAGCACAGACTTTTTTAATGATTTTCAGACTGGTAGTGTAAAATTGAGCCATATTAAGGCATCTGATAAATAATCCTTGGAAATTAACACAAGGCTGACGCAGTGGCACAAGTAGAGTACAAGAACAGGTCGCAGGGCCGCGCTCTGGATGCACTGCTGGAGACGGTGCTGGGAGGCCTGCATCTGTGTCCGAGTGCCTGGGCTCTAGGCCCAGCTCTGCTCTGGAGTCCAGCTTCCTGCCTACTCACACCTGGGAAGCAGGGGCAGTGGCTCCAGTGCTTCTGTTCTGCACCCACGTGGGAGATCAGTTTGAGTTTCCAGTTCCAAGTTTGTCCTGCTTCAGCTCTGGTTTGTTTTGGGCATTTAGGGAGTGGATTAGTGGATGGGTGATTATCCCTCTACTTCTCAAAGAGATGAAATAAAATTTATAGAAGTATACAATTTTTAAAGGATTCTTATTTATTATTTATTCTTATTTAATTGAGAGGTAGGGTCACAGACAGAGAGGGGAGAGACAGAAAGAAAGGTCTTCCATCCACTGGTTCACTCCCCAAATGGCCACAACGGCTGGAGCTGGGCGATCTGAAGTCAGGAGCTTCCTACAGGTCTCCCACATGGGTGCAGGGGCCCAAGCACTTGAGCCATCTTCCACTGCTCTCTCAGCCCATAGCAGAGACCTGGATTGGAAGAGGAGCAGCCGGGACATGAACTGGCGCCCACGTGGGATGCTGGTGCTGCAGGGGAGGCTTAGCCTATGCCACAACACTGGCCCCAAATATAAATTGTTTTAAAAATCCATGCATAGTTTTTCAAATATGCATTTTCCTTGACTATTTTGAAGTGCCTGTGTATGATAATATTGCTTTCAATGAAATATTTGATAGTTCATCCTCTCAGAAGTGGATGTGGTGTGGGGACATTGGGCTACCCAAGTTCTGTTGGGCCTTGGGGGTGCACTGGGTTTGCTGCCCTGGGCTGTCAAGGAGCTCTGGGTACCTGTGGGCAGCAGGTGGCTGTGCCATCGGGGGGCTGTGGGAGATCCATCATGCACTGCCTGGCAGACTTGTGAAGAAAGGCGCAGAGGGGGCACGTGGCTGCCGCTGTAACCAATGGAGAGGGGAGAAGAGAGTCTGGGGACACTTGCCCCTGTTCATTTCCTACCCTAGTGGAGTAGGTGCAGTGCCCATCTCTAACCTCACCAGCTGTGACTGAACACCCATGGACATGATGTGTGCATAGCCAGCCCCTCAGGCGTTGCCTCTGTATAGGACCCTTTGTAGGTCATTTTTCTAAGAGAATATTCTTGTGCATTTTAAGTATCAATTAGTGTATGAAGGTGCAGTTATACATGGTGCACTTAGAAAACGCAGCTCCGTATGCCTCGGAGGTCTGAGCATGTGTGTGTTCTGGTAGCCCCTCTCCCCCTCAGGTGCACAGGAGGTGTTGTGGGCCTCAGAGCCAAGGCAGGAACTCTGTACCCACCGTGGGTGCTGGCTCAGGCCAGGGTCCCTGTCATTGACCTTTGGCATGTTGGCACTCTGGATGTGTGTGTCCCATGTGAAGGCTGCAGGAGCCCTTGGTCCCACTCGCTTCTTAGGGGTCAAATGAAGAAAGAAAAGTTCATAGACCGGGAAAAATTCCCCATCATTTTATGGTCTTTTCTCCCAGCCCCAGTCATAAGTGAGTTATCTTTGAAGGCTTGCAGCGTGCTGCCTTTTCTCAGTGTAGCACGAGCATTCTGTGTGTTATTCCATGTTTGGTGAAAATCTAATGACTGATCAGCAGTTGTTAAATAGATGTACACAGCTTGCTTCTCATTTTCACAACTATTGGCACTCAGATTGCTTTCTGTTTTTTTGCTGTGATCAGTAGTCATTAGAGACGCTGAAGCGTGTGTCTTTTGGATGTCACATTTCCCCAGGCATCTGAACAGGCTGCAGTACAGCCAGTCCTCTGTACCCGTGGGCCCGTCAACCACGATTCAACCAACCACAGATTGAAAATATTTTAAAAAATCGAGTCCGTACTGAGCATGTAGTTCTTTCCGGGTCGTTATTCCCTGAACTCAGCAAGACAACCATTCCCGTGGCACGGTCGTAAGCTCTGCTGCAGATAGCAGAGATGTTGTGAAGCATACAGTGCTGTGTAAGGCCAGGAGCACGCCTGTGCTGGGACACTGCCCTCTGAGTCCCCGAGGTGCTGTGTCCCGGTCACCGTCTTTCTACAGCAGCAGTGCTGGCGGGTGTGGCAGAGGGAGGCCGCAGAGGGCTTCTGTGGGGGAGAGGGCAGAAGCTCCTGAGCAAACAAGAAAACACGCATGTTGCAGGAACCGAGAGAGATGCCACGGTCACGACTTTCATGAGAAACATGTTGTCAACTGTTCCGTTCTACTGCGTGATGTTGCTAATCTACATTTGTTAATTAAGTTTTGTCATAGGTTGTGTGTATAGGAAACACTGCATAGAGACACAGTGGAGTTTCAGGCATCCGCTAGGCATCTTAGAACACATCCATGTGGGTCCGAGGGGTGACTGCTGAGCCAGAATCCGGACGCAGGCCTCTCTCCTGTACTTGGGCCTTCTCGGGCCATGCCGCCTAAGCAGATCAGTGGTGGCACCGCTGTCCTGAGCTGCAGTGGGGGGTTAGGGTTTCCTCCTGCTCCCTGGTGTGTTTCCAGGGTCAACCTGATGGTGTGGAGGGTGGACGTCTTTGTTTTCAGGAGCTGCTCTGGAATGGTCATGTAGCCGTCTGCTTTCCCACCAGAAGCTCAGGACATGCCTGCCTCTGGCTGTTTCCCTAGGGCAGAGTGCCTGGGAAGACCTGAGTGTGGGCAGGTGTACCTGGACTGGGCTCCTCCTCTCTCCTCTTCCAAGGAGGTCACTCAGGCCCAGGCAGTCATCTGAGATACTGCTGGGGCCAGCAGGGTGCCAGGCACTGTGCCAGGTTTAGGGGATGGGGCAGTGAGGCCATGTGCCGGGAGCACCCTGAGTAACAGTGACTTATCTCGCTTTGGGGTTCGCTTCTTGAAGGAAGCACCACTTAAATGGGAGGTAAAGATTAGAAGCCTAGGACTTAGCTGGACCTGGAAGGAGAAGACCATTGCTGGGAAAAAGAACGCTGTGTGTGAAAGCTGGGAGGTGGGTGGTGTGGAGAGGCAGAGACAGACTGACGGTAAGATGCTTCTGTGGCCGCGGTGAGTGGAGCAGGGGGAGCCTGGTATCTGCAGGGCCAGACCTGCTGTGCTGAGGAGTCCGTGCCTTGGCCAGAGGGGGTTGGAGCCGCTGCCAGCTTGGAGCAGGGGTGCAGTGTTTGCTTCTGACTTGGCTGTGCTCCTCCGCAAGTCGACCGTCTGCCTTCTGGGCCGAAATAACTCTCCAGGAAGGCATGGAAAAGGAAAGGAATCTTCTGCACGTATGGGAGACAGTTCTCGCCAGAGACGGGGAGACCAAGGGACAGGGAACAGGGACGAGAAAAGGAGGGTGGGGGTCTGGAGCAGTGGGTAGGGCTTCGGTTAAGACACTGCACCCCTCCTCAGGGTTCTAGGGCTCGAGTCCAGCTTTGCTTCTGCCTCCACCTTCCTGTTAATGTGTACCCTGAGCAGCAGCAAGTGGGTCCCTGCCACTCACACAGGAGACCCAAGTTGAGTGTTGGGCTCCTGGCTGCAGCCTGGCCCAGTTCCCACTATTGCGAGCATTTGGGGCTGTGGAGGGCTGGAGCTGCCGCAGCGAGTGGAGTGGTATAGCTAGAAGCTTGTTGGTAGGAGGATGCTATCTGGAGCTAAATATACATTGATAGGTATTTTTAGAGGGTTTTCTGTAAGGAGGCTGCCCTAATACGCAATTTCCCTCGCAGCTGAAGGTCGAGGAAAGCGATTTTCCTGCGGGAGCTGCTCTGTACAGATCTGAGAATGGAGGGACCATGTGGGTGCAGACCGGGGCCCAGCCACACAATTTCTGTGGTGCCCGTGTGGTGGCTCTGACACTTCTCCTGGGCTGCCCTGGGTGGGCGTGGGGGGAGAGAGGAGCAAGGAGAGCCTGGGCGGAGGCAGGCGCCTGAGAGCTTGTCATTGAGGACTGCGGGCGGAGTCTGGTGGAGGGGAGGCCTGCTGGCGCCCGTGCTGGGGCTCCACCGCTTCTGGCTCCCCTCCCGCATGGCAGACCTTGTCCCCCAGCTCGTCCTTTCTGGATGTGGGGGCAGGCACAGCTGTGACCTCAGAACAACATTTCTGT